TTTATTCCCGCACTTCCCTTATCAGTTCAACTTATAGGGTCGTTTCTCTTATCAGTTCGTCTCATAGGGGCATTTATTGGTGCACTTCCCTTATCAATTCATCTTATAGGGGCATTTATTGGTGCATTTACCCTCTCAATTCAACTTACAGGGTCGTTTCTCTTATCAGTTCATCTTATAGGGGCGTTTATCAGTGTGTTTCCCTTATCAGTTCATCTTATAGGGGCGTTTATCAGCGTGTTTCCCTCTGGGTGGGCATTAGAACCACATCAATATGTGCAGTCGTCCCCCCTCGGCCCTATAAATGCCCACCTCCTCGTGCCTGAAATGTTTCATCCTGTACATGGGACTATGGGATGTCTGTGGGGAGGAGAATAGGGGGTGTGGGGTGGATTTGGGGTGGTGGCAATGAGCAGCCTATAGGGTCATTTGGGATGATGGCAATGAGCATCCCATGGGGACAAAGGGGACATTTGGGGTGATGGTAGTGAGCATCCTATGGGGATATTTGGGATGGTGGCAATAAGAATCCCATGGGGACATTTGGGGTGATGGTAATGAACGTTCCATGGGGTCATTTGGGATGGTGGCAGTAAGAATCCCATAGGAACATTTGGGGTGATGCAGTGAGCATCCCACGGGGACATTTGGGGTGATGGCATGGGGCCACAAGGGGACATTTGGGATGGTGGCAGTGAGCATCCTATGGTGATATTTGGGATGGTGGCAATAAGAATCCCATGGGGACATTTGGGGTGATGGCAGTAAACATTCCATAGGGTCATTTGGGATGACCCTAAGAATGACTAAGAATGGTGGCAATAAGAATCCCATGGGACATTTGGGGTGATGCAGTGGGCATCCCATGGGGACATTTGGGGTGGTGGTAATGAGCAGCCTATAGGGTCATTTGGGATGGTGGCAATGAGCATCCCATGGGGATATTTGGGTTGATGGCAATGGGCATCCTATGGGGCCTCAAGGGGACATTTGGGGTGGTTGCAGTGGGCATCCCATGGGGTGATGGGTTCCCCGGTTTGTGCCCAGCAGAAGGAGCAGCCCCACTGCCGTCCCGTGGTTACGATGTCTTTATTAAAGCCTGGGATGGAGGCGGGTTGGGAGGGGAAGATCAAACAAAGCATGGTTTATTTCGGACACATCACTGGTCAAACAACCCCAACGCACAGCAATCCGGGGTCGGCCGCAGGGCCCCCACCTGCTCTGCTCCCTGCTGCGTTTTTGGGATTTCCCTGATGAGATTTCGCCTCTCCTATTGGCAAAGAGGGGCAACGTCCTGTTGAGATGGGGCTTTGCACATCCATGTTCTGGTACCAGCAGTGGTGCTGGTGGGAGATCCTATTGGGGATGGGTTTGGGATTATCCCATTGGGAATGCGTTTGGAAAGTCCCACTGAGAATGGATTTGGGGGAAATCCCATTGGGAATGGGTTTGGGAGTGATCCCATTGGAATGGCTTTGGGATATCCCAATGGGAATGGATTTGGGAGTGATCCATTGGAAAGGCTTTGGGAAATCCCATTGGGAATGGGTTTGGGAGTGATCCATTGGAAAGGCTTTGGGAAATCCCATTGGGAATGGGTTTGGGAGTGGTCCTATTGGAATGGCTTTGGGATATCCCAATGGGAATGGGTTTGGGAAATCCCATTGAGAGTGGGTTTGAGAGTGATCCCATGGGAAAGGCTTTGGGATACCCCATTGGGATGGCTTTGGGATATTCCATTGGAATGGCTTTGGGAGTGATCCCAGTGGGAATGGCTTTGGGAAATCCCATTGGGAATGGGTTTGGGAGTGATCCATTGGAAAGGCTTTGGGAAATCCCATTGGGAATGGGTTTGGGAGTGATCCTATTGGAATGGCTTTGGGATATCCCATTGGAATGGCGTTGGGAGTGATCCCAGTGGGAATGGCTTTGGGAAATCCCATTGGGAATGGGTTTGGGAGTGACCCCATTGGAATGTGTTTGGGAAATCCCATTGGGAACAGGCCTGGGGCAGGTGGTGGGCAGCAAGCAGCCATCATGGCGGGGAAAAATCCAGGGAGAACTACATGGGTTGAAGTGGAACACAAAAACCCAACGGGACGGCACCAACGCAGTCAGCATCACCCGCAGCAGGACGGACGGACAGGCAGGCAGACAGACAGACAGACAGACAGACAGACAGTGCCCGCAATCCCTGCCCGGCGCTGCGCCGAATCCATCCTGGTCAGTCGCAATATCTCATTTCTCAGCTCTATGTACACACACACACAACCCTTAGCAATAAATTACAGCCCCCCGTGGCAAGCAGCAATGTACAGATCGCTCCTGGCAGCAGCTGCTGCTTCTAAGTGCTTTTTGCATCCTCTTTTTTTTTGCCGTTTTCTTCTGTTTTGAGCAAGCTCTACTTGCACAAGCGTTGGCTTTTCTCTGCAGAAGCATTGGCGCTCTTTTTTTTTTTTTTTTGTCCTTTTTTCACTTTTTTTTTTTGCCTTTTTTTTGGTGTTTTTGCACTGATTCTCTGCATTACAAACCCCTACCCCCTGTGCTGGGCTGTTGACATCCCTACCCGGGATGCTGGCGGCATAGCGGGATGCTCTGGGCAGGACGTGGCTCTGGGGGGGCAATGGTGGATCTACACGTGGGTGGGGGCACGGTGGGCCCTTAGCTGGGCATCTGCACCTCGTTGTACACATCCTGGCCCTCCGTCTCTTCGAATGTCACCACTGCGTCGTCCGTGTCCAGCTGTGGGGGGAGATGGGGTGTCAGGAGGGATGGGATGGGGGTGGGATGAGAGTGGGATGGAGGTGGGGGTGGGGATGGAGGTGGGGATGGAGGTGATAGAGATGGAAATGGAGATGGGGATGGGGATGGAGGTGAGGATGGAGGAGATGGAGGTGGAGATGGAGGTGGAGATGGGATGAAGATGGGGATGGGGATGGAGGTGGAGATGATGGAGATGAAGATGGAGATGGAGGCGAAGATGGGATGAAGATTGGGATGGGGATGGGGATGGGGATGGAGGTGAAGATGATGGAGATGAAGATGGAGATGGAGGCGGAGATGGAAATGGAGATGGGGATGGGATGGGGATGGGATGAGGATGGGGATGGAGATGATAGAGATGGAAATGGAGATGGAGACAATGGAAGAGGAGATGGAGTTGGAGATGATGGAGATGGAGATGGAGATGATGGAGATGGAGATGATGGAGATGGAGATGATGGAGGAGGAGATGGAGATGATAGAGATGGAAATGGAGATAGAGATGATGGAGGAGGAGATGGAGATGATGGAGGTGTAAATGGAGGTGGAGATGGCTGAGGAGGAGATGGACTTGGAGGTGATGGGGATGGAGATAGAGATGATGGGGATTGAGGTGGAGATGATAGAGATGGAGGTGGAAATGGAGTTGGAGATGATGGAGATGGGATGGGGCAGGGATGGGAACAGGGAGGACATAATGAGAGGTCAAAAATGAGGACGGGCAGTGATGGGGATGGAGACGGGAGGAGAATGCAAATGGAGATTGGAATGGAGATGAGAATGGGGATGAGGATGAGGGGTGGATGGAGATGGCAGTCGTACTGGGGGCAGGAAGAGGATAAGGACGAAAATGGTGAACGGGATGGAGGCAGAGATGGGGACAGGGAGAGCATGGTGAGAGACCTGAGAACAGGGATAGGGATGAGGACAGGGGCAGTGATAGGGATGGAGGTAGGAATGAAGGTTGAGGATGGGGACAGCGGCACAGGAAGGGAGGAGGTGCAAATAGCAGCCCTACAGAACTGGTGAACGGGATGGGACAGAGATGGGGACAGGGAGAGAACCGGGATGGGGACAGGGTGGGGATGGGGACGCATCAGGAACAGGGAGGAAGAAGAGGACAAAGACAAAGGTGGGAACGGGGATGGGGAGAGGAGGGGGGTGGGACACGTACGCATTTGAGCTCCATCTCGCTGAAGATGCGGGGCAGCAGGAGGCGCCGCAGCGGCACGGTGAGCACCAGCACGAAGGGCAGCGCCAGGGAGGCATCGCTGACCTTCACCCCCCACAGCAGCGCCAGCACGAGGATCTGCGTGACGGTGAAGAGGTGCATCCGCCACGTCTTCACCTGCGGCACAGAGGTGGGGGGAGGTCAGGGGGGCGGGGAGCCGCATCCCATCCCCGGGGCGCGGGGTGGGGGGGGGCGGGGTGTCCGAAGCGCGGCCGTCTCACCCGGGTGACGTACGGCTCCTTGGGGTGGTACTTGGGGGGCATCAGCAGCAGCAGGATGCGGTCGAAGAGCTGGATGCCGAAGAGCGAGGTGACGCCCATGTAGAGGAAGATGCCGAAGAGCACGGCCAGCGGGATGTACTTCAGGATGGGCTCCATCAGGATGGAGACGCCTGGGGGGGGGATGGGGGGTCAGCGGCACCACGGGGACGGGTCCGACCCCCCCCAAGCTCCCCAAGTCCCCAGCCCCGTCCCGCTCACCGATCAGCACGGCCACCAGCAGCCCGCTGATGCGCTGCTCCTTCACCTCCAGGATCTGGGATTTCTCTCCCGGTTCCGAGCTCTTGCTGATGACGGTGAGAGCGTTGGCGTGCGTGATGGTGCGCACCGTGGTGGCGCTCAGCCAGGGCATGCCAAAGAGAGCAGCCACGCCGCCCATGGCCACGATGAGCAGCAGGTCCAGGTGGAACCCCGAGCCCTTCACCAGCTTCCGTTCCGGCTTGCTGACGATGAGGCTGAGGGAAGGAGGGCACAAATCCGCGGTTGAGGATGGGGACGGAGGCGCAGGCAGGGAGGGGATGGAGATGGCGGTTGTAACGGGGACAGGAGGGGATGGGG